GCTGGGCAGTCACGTGGCTCATGTCGTTGGTGTCCCTGCTCAGGAGTCGGCCCTTCATCGCCTGGTGTTCTCTGTCTTGGAACTGCTGAGTCATGTTTGTTCAGTATGGGAGGGACATCCCGGGCCTGTCCCTCCGCCTCGGGGTGAGGCCGACTGCTCTCTCCCCAGCCCCCGAGAGCCTGATGCAGGCCCTGGAGGACCTGGACTACCTGGCGGCGCTGGACAACGACGGGAACCTGTCGGAGTTTGGAATCATCATGTCCGAGTTCCCCCTGGACCCACAACTCTCCAAGTCGATCCTCGCATCCTGCGAGTTTGACTGTGTAGACGAGATGCTGACCATCGCTGCCATGGTAACAGGTACCCAGGACTCTTGTTTTGTGAATCTGCATGGCTACAGCTTTAGATGAGATCAGGTTGAAGTGATATTTTAATAGATGGAAAGGTAGAAAATTATAACAATTATCTTAGTATGAAAAAGCCTAAATCATAGCTAGTGAATTTCTTAATCTGACAGGTGAAAGCACACCAGATTAGCTTTTGCTGAAGTCAGCGCAGATCAAGAAAAATTTGAAGAAATGTGTCACTAGACATGTCCTTCCCACATGATGATGTGTGTGCGTGGCTTTACTTCCTGCACCTCTGTCCCTTGGTCTGTGCGCTTGAAGTTATGCTTTAACGGCAGACAGACCGAAGGCTGTGCGGCACGAGAACCTGTGTTCTAATCCTGCGCCTGCACCGCCCTGGGAACGCCCGCCCCCACTCCCACTGCAGCACAGCCGTGTGACCAGCAGACTAAGAAAGACAAACAGAAACAAGGAGACACACATATGACAACCCCCCTGAGCCCCCTTGGTGCCCGAGTAAAAGGGAAAACTGATCAGTCAGAGTAAGACTGACTGCTACAAGCCCGAGAGCTGTGCTACCGAAATGTCTCCTCACTGCTGCCCTGGCCCCTTTTGTCTTCAAGCGCCCAGCTGCTTCTCGCATCTGCCGCGTGGAGCTGAGGAGGCTGCCCTGACTTGTTGGAAGACATTTCTACATCCCGAAGGCGATCACTTTACCCTCATCAACGTTTACAAGGCCTACCAGGACGCAGCTCTGAGCTCCGCCAGCGAGCGTAAGTGGTGCTTGATTCTCAGGGTCACACACGGAGCCCCTTTCCTTCCCCCAGGAAGCTGAGTAACTGGTCAAACACCCTCTCTAGGCCTGGTCACGGCGGCGGAATGGGCTTGAGACCCTCAGTGCACCCGTAGGTCTCTGCCAAGCAGAGAAACTCACTCCTGCTCCCAGAGCTCTGGCAGCTGCGCTGCGGGGCTGCGGGCGGGCCGCGACTGGAACCCACCGTTCAGCTCGGCCGCGTTCAGAGGGAGCTGCTGGGGGCAGGAGGATACCGGGAGACTTGCACGGCTCCTGCCTCTCGGATTTTTGGGGAGAAACAAGGACCTGCCATCTCAGTGCCCTGGGTCAACGCTGTGCTCCCTGCTGTCCAGAGCCTAGCACATCCCTGCTGGACGGAGAGGCTATGGGGCAAAAGCAAAACAAACCCTCCAGATAACAGTGGAGGACAGGCCGGTGCTGAGACACTGGGGAGGTCAGGGCTGGAGCTTGGCAGAGGGAGGCGAGGGCAGACGAGGGGAAGCGGGAGCGGGGTGGGGACCGGAGTCCTGAAGCATGGGATGGTGCCTGCAGCAGCACATGAGGCAGAAGTTACACGGGGCGGGTCGTTCAGCAGCATCTTTGAGAGCCGGCAGGATGGGGGCCAGATGCATGCTCTTGTTGCTCCGAGTGGGCCTGCGTGGACAGTACAGGGCCCACCACGCCAAGGCCGCACACTGGTCCACAAGGTAACTGTAGGTGGCAAGAAAGAGTGACTTCAAGCTGCACCAGGCGCAGGAATTGTAATGTACCCTTTGCAGCAGGGTAGCTTAACTCTAATGTAATTCCCAGATCCACCAGAAGTAACTCTACTCTTATAATAAACTAGAGGCCCGGTGCACAATCAGGGCCAGGGAGGGACCACGGGAGGGCTCCAGGGCGTACCTCGCCCAGTCTCAATCGGCCACACCCTAGCACAGTGATGGCGAACCTATGACACGCGTGTCAGAGGTGACACGCGAACTCATTTTTTTGGTTGATTTTTCTTTGTTAAATGGCATTTAAATATATAAAATAAATATCAAAAATATACATTTTTGTTTTACTATGGTTGCAAATATCAAAAAATTTCTATATGTGACACGGCACCAGAGTTAAGTTAGGGTTTTTCAAAATGCTGACACACCAAGCTCAAAAGGTTCGCCATCACTGCCCTAGCACCAAGCTAACCCACCGGTCGGAGCATCTGCCCCCCGGGGGTCAGTGCGCATCACAGCTACCGGTCGAACGGTGGCTTAGGCTTTTATATACAGAGATAGAAAATGTGTTTCCTGGACCAGAGGACTCTCCACTGTGAGCCCCTCCTGTCCTACTCTGATTAGCTGGGACCATGCACATCCTGCTGCGCACACCAGATAAACGGGACTCAGGCAATGCCCGCTGCCCGTGAGCCAGACAGGCGACAGGCTTCCGGTCCACGCTAGGAGCATGTAGTCTCCACAGTTCGTGGGGCTGTGGGACCCCCTGAACCCCCTGGCCAGTGCAGGTTCTTCCTGGCAGCGCCACAGAGGGCCCACCTTGCTGCCCCAGAGGTCCCTGTCCTTGCTGCCTCCCCGCACGCACCATGTGACCTCCTCAGGTCAGGGAAGCAGAGGAGAGCGCCTTCCTGGCCAGGCCCTTGCAGACCCACCGTGACCCTGACCCGTGCCCTCCCCGCAGACTGCGTGGAGAAGTGGTGCCACGAGCGCTTCCTGAACTGCGCCGCCCTGAGGATGGCGGGCGCCATCCGCGCCGAGCTCGTGGACATCGTCCGGCGGATCGAGCTGCCCTACGCCGAGCCCGCGTTCGGCTCCCAGGAGAACACGCTGAACATCAAGAAGGCCCTGCTGTCCGGCTTCTTCATGCAGGTGAGGACGGCCGCCTCCATGGGCCCTGACCCCCAGGCCCTGACCCCCCAGGCAGGCGCTCAAGCTCGTTCCCTCTCGGTGATCACTTCACTGAGGTTCACTTTAAAACACAACAAAAGCCCTGATATGACTTTGTATTTAAATACACTTCTCTCAGGCATGAAGGGCTCAGCCAGAACACACAACGCTGTCCAAAGGGCAGGGGAGGGGCAGACCCGGCTCTGAGCTATTGGCGAACTCGCTCACATTTAGGGGTGAATAATGCCCAGGAAAGAGAGAAAGCGCCTCCTTTGCTTCTCACTGGCAGGCTCTTAGAGAGCGTCAGAGACGTGGGTGTGACATCCCCTCCCCACCCTAACGCGGCCCACTGGAGGCCTGACATCTCAGCTCGGAGGTCCTCGTCCCTGCGGGAGGTTAGGTCCTGATGGCACCGGGTCTTGAGGACTAGACGAGCGAGGCCACGAGGGGTGCAGCACTTGCTGTTCGAGAGCAGCCTTACTCACGAGCAGTCATCACCCACTGCAGCGCCCTGGCGTCGCTCGAGTCGGCACCATCACCACTGCCTGTCCTACTTCGGTATCTGAAATAGGAAGCATGGGTGGAACTCTGGTCCTAAGGCTCCCGAGGAAAGAGACCCTTTGGGGCTTTTAAACCCAGCGCGTGAGTGCTGACCTCCACAGTAACAGTCTCTCCTGACCACGCCGCTCTAGATCGCTCGGGACGTGGATGGGTCGGGCAACTACCTGATGCTGACGCACAAGCAGGTGGCGCAGCTGCACCCGCTGTCCAGCTACTCGCTCAGCAGGAAGACGCCCGAGTGGGTCCTCTTCCACAAGTTCAGCATCTGCGAGAACAACTACATCAGGATCACCTCCGAGACCTCCCCGGAGCTGTGCGTCTCAGGGAGATGGGTTCCGTTAGAGAGGTTTCTACTTAGCGATCCCTGCAGACAGGCCCTGCCTTGAGGCCGCAGCACAGAGGCTCCGTTACAAACACAAAGCAGCTGGCCTCTGACCGGGCAAGGAGCCATCAGGGGCAGGCCTTGAATAAGCTCAGCCTCTCTCAGATGAGCCACTGAGACTGAGCGGGGGGCTGAAGACAGGCAGCGGCCAGAGCGCTGGGGCTTATGGTTTATGCCAAGTGCAGTACTGAAAGCAGCTGGAGATTGAGAAGGGTGGCATCTCATGGACCTAAAGATCCCTCTGGCTGCCAAGTGAACGGGTGTGGAGGGGCAGTGGGGAGAAGGGAGACTGGCCTCTCGGAGGCTGGCACAGTGCCGGGTCCGTTCTGAAGGTCCCTCCACCACGTGGGCAGAGTGGTGCTCTGGCAGGAACCAAGGGAAAGCGACAGCTGTCCACTCAGCTGGACGTGCAGTGGTTTCGTTAGGAAGAGGGAGAGGCAAAGGCCCTCTTACCACCCAGAGTTCTCCAAGCGTCAGATCTGATCCTTCGCACTGGATGGCTCTGGGGGGAGTACAGTGCCCCGGGGGTCAGAGTGGTGGCCTAACACTGGAGAGCCAGCGGCCCTAGAAATGCTAGGGGGTTGGTTCCGTAAAAACAACAGCCAGGGCCACCCTACAGCGGGCTAAGGCTCGGAGGAGCCCACGTTACATGCCAGCCTATGGATTCTGCAGGCGGGGAAGGGCTCGGGCACGCTCGCTCTCTCCCACCAATAACACTATTTCTTAACACAGGTTTGTGCAGCTGGCGCCCCAGTACTACTTCAGCAACCTGCCCCCCAGCGAGAGCAAGGACATCCTGCAGCAAGCCATGGACCGCCTGGCTCCCGTCCCCGCCACGAAAGGAGAGCAGACGCCCTGCGAGAAGTGCCCTGAAACTACTGAACAAAGGTGTGCCCTGCAGTGACACCTCCGAACCTCCCAGAGCGCCACGAACGCCCAGTCAGCCTGCGGGGCTGGCACCAGGCAGGGACTCACAGGAGGACAGCCTCTGAGCCGCACAGGAGTCTTGAAACAAACTAATACTTTGTATATTATTTAAAAATAAAATATAGACGTTTTTATTGAGTTCTTTCAATAACTGCTCCACGTTTTTCTTCTTACGGGGAAGGTTTTTAATCAAACGTTCATAATTTGACCAAAAATTTTTTAAACACTATTTTGTAAATGTGTCACAGACACAGGCAACAGAACCCTACTTTGTGTAGAGAAGCTAAAGCTAAATAAAGTCTCGAGTTTTTCAGTAAAACTCCACTGGGTTTTCTGGTGATTTTACAAACAGCACGGCCTCTCGGTGGGAAGCGGCTAGACAGACAGATGTTCCTCCAGCGCCGCCATGATCTCGCCCATCCTGTCACACGGGACCAGCATGACGGTGCGCAGGGGCTTCATCGGGACGTCGTCGAAGGACCACCTGCCGCCCAGGCACGAGTCGCTCTCCTCCTGCACTGAGTAGCTGAACGTCAGGACTGCCTTCTGAACCACACAAACACCATGAATAAGCAACACGCACTCAATCGGCAGCAAATACTGTTTGACACGTTTCCATAGGAACAGGGGCTGAAGGAAGCCCGAAGGGACACTTGGCAGAAGGCACCTCCAGGAGGTGAGCCAGCAGCCGGTGACACTGAGCTACCGCCCACTTACACTCTGTCTACCACTCTGCAGTCACTCCTAGTCACAACCTTGTGACCGAGGGACAGTAACAGGCACAACACTGGACATCTAACAAGAAGACCCTGCAAATGCTGGCCTTCCTGCCGCCCCAGCTCCTCCTTGGCAGAGCTGCTGTGGACGAAGGGAAGCTTGCAGAACCAGCCGTGTTCAAACCCACACGCACCCTGAGATGCAGGGCAGAGCCTCAAAAGTTCATTCCCACTGTCTCCTTCCTGAAAAGGCCCAGCGCTGCCAGTCTTGATGGCGGCCATCCCAGGAGAGGCCCCTCCTCGGAGGTTCACTTCTGGGGAGGGCTGCATGGGGAGGGTATTCTCTCTCTGGCTGGCCATCGCGCACCAGCTACCTTTACAGGAAGGAAAGTGCCAGAAACCCACTAATGGGATGACATCCAGGACGAGGGCAGAGCGGCCCGTGAGCTAGGCGGGAGGCCCAACAGGCTGGGACCTCAGCTGAGGACGGTCCCTCAGACTCAATGTCCACCTTGAACCCAGGCTCATCCTTCCTCCCGAGGGGTTTGGGAGCTGCAGCTCTCGCAGCACATCATCAGCCTGATCACTACCAGCAGGTTCATGACTGTCTCCTCCCACACTCGTCATCAACAGTGGGGCTGGGGCGGTGATGACCTGTGAGAACCTAGTGCGCACCAGGCACTGTGAGCTGCTAGCAGCTGGGGACAAGGAGGAAAACAGAGCGGCCACACTCGGAAGACTGATACAAAATGGGAGAGTCCTGACTTATTGTCAAGAAAATCCCTATATACCGGGGAACCTTGGTTCTTGAACTTAATTCGTTCCGGAAGGCTGTTCAAGAAGCGACTTGTTTGAAAACCAAATCAGAAAAGTAAAAAAACACAAAAATATTCCCAGCACAACTTCCTGAGATGTTAACAAGGTGAGGTTTAGCAGTAAACTGACTCGCTCACTCTCTCGTCACCTGAGAGACGCACAACTGGTCACATCAGCATGAAAGGGCTGCTGGTTGAGAACCGAAGTTTTGTTCAATAACCGAGACATTTTTATGTGAACAATTTGAGAACCGAATTGAGAACCGGAGGTTCCATCTAAACAAATACATGGAACAAGACCGTCTTACCTCGTAGAAAAATTCTTCCTCTGCATTCGCAAATATTAACTCATCGTTCTTTTGGCTGCTCTGCTTCTTTTTGGAATTGCCTTTTCCTGCTTCCGCAAACGTCTTGCTGATCAGAAGGTAGAAGTGACACTTCCCACACGGCTTGTTGGTCTTGTGTGCCTCCGCCAGTTCTTTCCTACAAGACACACACGGGTCTGCTGCCGGGCCGGTGACACCAGCCCAGCCACACCCCAGGCCCTGGGAAAGCAGGGAGGCCCGGCCGGGCTCCTGCTGGGACGCAGCTTCCTGCGCAGACGCAGGTCTGACACTTGCACAGCACTGAGTTTCAGCTCTGCTGTCTGCACTTCCGATTGTTCTAACAGGGCTTTTCATAAAGAACAGGGTGACGGATCTCTCAGATTCCTCAACATCCCTGCTCTGTGCACAAGTTAAAAACACTAAGAACCTGGAGTTTTAAAGCAGCAAACATGGAATTGAAACACACAAAGGCACACGGCCACACCCAATGCCATGGGAGCATGTGACTGCTCCAGTCTCCAATCGCGAGTCCAGGACTCATTTCTCCCGCGCTGCAGAAATCACACAGCAAAGCGCAGACACTGCAGAGTCAGCGCAACAGCAAGGGAGCCTCCATTTCCTTCCTGAAAAGCAGGCATCATCCTGTGCATCCAGCAAACAAAACGTAAGAAAACGCGGAACAGCCCACTCAGCTGCCTTTATAGGGGATCAGAAGGCAGCCACCCCCTGGAAAATCAGATTAAGCGTGAGCTCCAGCTGATCAGGAAAAGACAACACAAACCCCACTAGGAGCTGGGGGGGGCGGAATCCATAAAGGAAAATGGGGAAAAAAGTTTCCAGCCTCCGGTTATATTCGCACATTCCCACTAAGGCAGTGGTCGGCAAACTGCGGCTTGCGAGCCACATGCGGCTCTTTGGCCCCTTGAGTGTGGCTCTTCCTAAGCCTTAGGAGTACCCTAATTAAGTTAATAACAACGTACCTACCTATATAGTTTAAGTTTAAAAAATTTGGCTCTCAAAAGAAATTTCAATTGTTGTACTGTTGATATTTGGCTCTGTTGCCTAATGAGTTTGCCGACCACTGCACTAAGGAAACCACGAGTGCTAAGACCTCAGGAACACGAGGCTGGGAGGGCAGGGGGCCTGTCCGAGTTCTCGTCCTCCTCTATTAAAGCACAGGCAATACCGATTCTAGCTCTTCTTACATGTAAGATGTTCTCATAAACTTAAAACTGCGTTTAAAAACAAAACCCTGAGAAGCCAGAAATATGGTATCAAGAGTATGGTTTCCTTAGTCATAAAGCATTACAGTGAAATTTAGGAATTTTACTGTTTTTGTTACTGTTGTAATTATTCAGTATTTTTCATGTTAATCTACCAGGGAAGGTGAAAAACTAGTCAAATAGGAGTGAAGAGTCTACATGAGACTCACCTACTTTAATACCACTGAAATCTTTAAGGTTACGAACTCGTCAGAATAGCTTTAGCGATTAAAACTGAAAAGCCGATAGTGAGGACCGTGTGCAGCTCGTGGACAAGTGCTCCCAGCCCACCCCCTGGGCGGGACTCGCCCTCCGCAGCCCCGTTTCTGACCCCTGGGAAGCCTGCCCGGCTCAGGCGCTTACTGGAGCTGCCGGTGCATGGGCAGCGCGATCTGTGCAGGCACGTTGATGAACCGCTCGCTCAGGAGCAGGCCCACGGGCCGGGAGGGGTCATTGAAGAGCTTGTCCAGCTGCTCGACCACGCTCTTCTCACAGTTCTTCGCGCAGCCGCTCAGGGTCAGCTCTTTAATCTGCTCAGCACACTGGGTCCCCTGAAAGCAGAGACGTGCCTCACTCAGGCCATCGCTTCCGGCAAAAGCCTGACTGCGCACCAGCTCCTCACAGGGAGGGCAGCTCTGTCACAGCCTCTAGAGCAGAACCACTGCTCTAGACTCTGCCGTCTTCAGTGCTGACTGCTGTGTGCTTCTCAGGGTAACTGCCTGGTGTGACCCACCACCCATGACCGTGGTGAGAGGGCCCTGGATGAGCTAGTCCACCTCGGAGATGGCGGAGGGCACTGCAAGCCCATTTAACACCAGAGTGCACCTGCGCCCTGTGAGGAGGGGAGGCAGCTGGTTCTTACTTTCCACGGGAATCATCAGTGAGTAGGAAAGAGCGATGAGCGCAAACCCCGTGACAGTCGGTGTCAGTAGCGCCCTCCCCTTCAGGGAGCAGCACAGCCCATCACAGAGCAGCTGCAGGGGCAGCACCAGCCACATGTCAACCTGGCCAGGCGGGGACTCTGCACACAGGAGGGAGGACTTGAACTGGGTACACACCAGTCAAAACAAAACACCTCCACGCGGCCGGAGTGGCTCGGGGCTTGAATGTCAACCTACGAACCAGGAGGTCACGGTTTGATTCCCGGTCAGGGCACATGCCCAGGTTGCGGGCTCGATCCCCAGTGTGAGGTGTGCAGGAGGCAGCTGACCAATGATTCTCTCCCATCATTGATGTTTCTCTCTCTCTCTCCCTCTCTGAATAAAAACATATTTTAAAAAAACACACAAAAAAATACCTTCACTTGAAAACAGGCTACGGTGAGACTTCACAAGTGCACACGCCCTTACAACAACTATCACCGCCTGACAGAAACACTTCATGTGTGTTACACAAGCAGTCTGGCCTAAGGGTGACCACACAAGTGCCCCCAAGGGACCCACCTTTCGTTCAGTTAAATTGAGAAGACTTATGAAACCAAAAATCTCATCTTCGTCCACATCGTCATCACTATCTTCTGAAACATCCGTTTGCTATTTTAAAAAGAAAAGGAGTTTTAATTTACACTTGGTTGGGAAGAAATAGGATACCAAGCCTGAAATCTAGGCCTCATTACTCTGTCTAAACACAAACTGTTTTATCACTGTCACCCAGAAAAGCATCATGGGTAATGGCGGTGTGGCCCCGTGCGCATCCTGTGCCTCCCTTGATTCCATGCCTCGCTTCACATTCTGTGTGACCTCTCCTGCCCTAACTTATAAGGGTTTTCTTTACTAGATTCTCAACATGTTACAAATCCAGAACAGCCAAGGCCTCATGACATAAACTGTGCAGTCCGTTTTCTGAACGATTTGGCAGGAGCCGGCCCTGCTCGTCTCTCCGTGGGTCCACACGCCTCACCAAGTCCTGTGCTGCCGAGCGCGGGCCAGCCCTGGCTCCTAAGGTGACTGATGCCCGAGGGCCGCCTATTCTCAGGCAGAGACAAAGAGGCGAATCCAGAAAACAGCTAAGGATGAAGAGCTTGGCTCCCACGGAACCTGGCTGAGCTGCACCACACGTTACTCTTCCAGGCCGGCCTGCTCACCGGGTCCAGCCTGGAGCGTCCCGGCAGAAAATGCAGTCGAACAGTGAGCTGGGCAAAGGGCTGGGAACAGGACCACACCACATGACAGCTCCACACGGAGCGCCAGCCACGGGCCACGGGCCACAGCTCTAACACCTTACACCCAGCTACTCACTTCGTCCACCTCCCGCCCTACGAGGTGACGCACGCACCATCCGTGTGCAGACTGACAGCGGCATAAAAGGTCTTGTGACAGAGTGTGCCTTGCACAGAGGGCCACAAGGACATCGCCCATCCCTCCTCGTCTGACAGTGACCCAAACACTCCTCCCATCAAGAGGTGGGGGTCTCTGCGCCCTCCCCTGGGACCCGTGTGGGCTTCCTGTTGCTAAAAACGCCCAAGTCTCCAGCTGCTGTTCAACAGCTCATTTGCCTTATTACAGGCAAATCAAACTCAAAATGTACAAGTCCAAACGTGGGTTCCCCTCCTAACCTATCGCCCTCCATGTCGCTGTCCTGGTTGCTTGAGCCAGACCCTCGGAGTCATGCCTGACTCCTTTTCCCTCCCCCTCAGCCCACCATATTTCATCTCCCAAATGCCTTCTGAATCAGCCCACTCCTCTCCCTCTCCACCGCCATTACCCGCACTGCGGCACTTACTAACCCAGTCTCCCTGCTCCGTTCCGACCGACGCATCCGGCCGCTGCTATACATCAGGAGGGACTTCCCAGGATCAAGAGCCCATTGAATCAGAATGAGCGCAGCTGCCTGCTTACCTTAATCACACTCCCGATGTGGTTCTGCTGAATTAAGAGATTCGTCAGTTCGGCAGTGTTGACAGGTGCCTTGAGGAAAAGCTGAGAGAAAAACAATAATTTAAATTAAAGTCAGAGTGCGACATCTAAAATTACTTCTAACTTCCATATTCAAATAAAAACCATGACATTTCAATGATTTGACCAGGACGGTGACTAGGACACTAACGGCTCTACTGGGAACTGAGGCCGTCTCCACGGGCAAAGGAAAATGTAGAGGCAGCAGATGCTGCCAGGATATGACTTCTACGGGAGAATTCCTCTCCTGCGAAAGCTGGGATGTGACTCAGGAAAAGACAGAACAGTGGCCAAAGTAATTAGCAGATGGAAGTGTTGCAGGAGGAAGAACAGTCAACTATGTTCATGGCGGAAGGGGCTGGGGGCAGAAGCACAGAGAGAAGTTCTTCCTTCTGGGCCGGGACCAGGGCCGGGGGAGGGAGGAGCGAAGGGAATTCGAAAGCAGAGAGGAGCATGCCCACAGAGCTGGTGCTGACGGGCCTGGATTTTCTTAGAAGAGCAAGTTTATGTGTAAGGAGTAAAAAGCAATACCTGCTGCAGTAATTTCTTAATCCCGTCATAATCGTTGTATGAGATGGAATAAGCTTCAAAGTCAACATTCACTTCCTGTAAATAACACACAAAACAGATCATGACACAGAACTCTCCAGACACGTCAGGCATCATGTCCCCCTGCGGATTTTCTTCTCCCGCTACCTCCATCCTTTCTGGCTCCAACTCTAGCTACAGAACATGCAGAAAAAGGACGAGAAGAAAAGGTTACATAAGGAACTGTAACTGTCCAGCCTACAAGACGGGCGAACATTATCAACGCTGCATCCCCACAAATTACAAAACCCCTCATACCACCTCCTCACTGGACACAAAAGCCCGGAAGAACATACACTCGGCCAGGTTTCCGGTTGGAAAGCCAGCTCTGGGTGAGCCGCAGGCGCACAGGAGAGCTCCCCTGCCTACAAGAAGGGGGAGCAACCAACAGGCTCACTTCACAAGCCCCTGCACTGCCTGCGCCTGAGGCTCTGCTTCCTTCACTTGGCAAAGAGGTGCCGCCTGCTACCACCACTTCCCTAGCACTGTGCCAGGCGCTCAGATGAAAAGGGGAGGACGTGAAGGGCCCTGCCTTCAGAAAGTAGGCGGAAATACAGACATTGAGGAAATACTCAAGTCAACGTACAGCTGCACCTTCTCGAGCTTTAAGACCCGGCGCACGGTGTTGCGGCAGCTTGGAAACGGGTCAGGGCAGACAAGCGACATCTGAGCTGGGAACCGAGGACAGGAGAGGCCCTGGCCCGGGGAACAGCACCTGCGCAGGCTCTGGGGCAGGAGTACAGGGACTACTAACAGGCGTGTAGCTGGGTCCCTGATCTGCATTTGCAAAACAACCACAACACAAGCTAGGAGGTGATGCCACTGAAATATCCCACAAACAAGTAAATGAAAGGATCACTTCACACCACAAACAACAGCTGAGGTGCTTTCAAACGCTGCCCAGGATCGACCCTGAGGACCCCGGGGCTCTGGTGAAAAGTGCACTTGCACGCACTTCCGGCTGTGCGGGTCCTGGGATGTGGGTCTGGAGATCGACCCTGAGAACCCCGGTAAGTGACGCACTGACCACGGGGCGCTGGTGAAAAGTGCACTTGCATGCACTTCCGGCTGTGCGGGTCCTGGGATGTGGGTCTGGGCTGGCGGAGACGGCAGAGGAAAAGCAAACTGACTTGTGCCGTCCGTGCGGATGTGCACGGATTTAAGCACCCGGGGCTGCTGACTCACCCCAAGGTCCTTGCACAGCCTTGGACCCCGGCTCGGAAGTCAGCTCAGCCGGATGATGTGATCAGCAAACTAAACCAAATAGCAAACTGTCGTGACTCGGGTCAGGATGTCGTCCTTTAAAATATTAAACAAACTCCTGTCCGGCTGGCCTTTGTGGCTGAGCATCAACCTAGGAACCAGGTCACAGTTGGATTCGCGGCCAGGGCACAGGCCCGGGATGCGGGCTCCATCCCCAGTGGGGGGCGTGCGGGAGGCAGCCGACCCAAGGTTCTCTCTCATCATGGATGTTTCTCTCTCTCTACCTTGCTCTCCGAAACCAAGGATATTATACCTTTTTAAAAATGACGTCCCCCGCCCTAACCGGTTTGGCTCAATGGATGGAGCGTCGGCCTGCAGACTCAGGGGTCCCAGGTTCGATTCCGGTCAAGGGCATGTACCTTGGTTGCGGGCATATACCCAGTAGGGGGTGTGCAGGAGGCAGCTGATCGATGTTTCTCTCTCATCGATGTAAATAAAAATAAAAATGACGTCCCTGAAAGCCAGCGCTGTGTCGGTTTTTCTTTGGGGAGAAGGGGGAGACCGGCCGGGTCTAACTTTTGAGAGTCATTCTGCGGCTGCGAAGCGAGGAGACCGAATGGAACCGGAGTGAGCCCTTTGCCGCCCCCAGCCCCCGCCCGCAGCCCCTCGGGGGCAGGGGAGTCGCTGCGCTCAGCGCCTCGCACACTCGTCGGCCGTGGCTGCCAGAAAGCACGCTCCCAGCTGGCAGCCCAACTGGGGTCGCGGTGCTGCTCACCTCGTCCACGACCTCGTCGTCTTCATCCTCTTCCTCGTCGCTGTCTTCGTCGTCGTCGTCCTGGTCCTCCACTTCCTCGTCCTCTTCTTCCTCGTGGCACGGGACAGGGTCGCCGAGCGTCTGTGGGGTTCCCCCGTCCACAGCGCGCCGCTTGGGCCGGGACGCCATGCTGCCGAGCTCACTGCGCCTGTGCAACCGCCGCCCTGACGTCCTTACGCCCTTCCGGACCCACCCACCCCTCCAGGCCGAGGGGGTGGAAACCATGTAGAACCTCAGCTCTGGGTCGGCGACAACCCCAGCGTCCCTGCTGGATTCTACGGCCATGATGCCTAAGAGTCAGGTCCGGTTCTGGGTCCTGTCTTGCCCTTTCCATCCTCCCTCCACCTTCCTTACCCGCCCCCCAAGGGTCGCCCCCCCCTTGGCTCAATGGTTCGGCCCATCTCTGCGGCTGCCTCCCCGGGTGTCGTTGCGCATGCGCGAGCTCCAGCTGTGAGCGCCGCGGGGCAACAGGTGGTGGTGGT